TCATGGACGTAATAAAGGGGGGGTCGTATTTGGGCTGGGAAATATTTATTTTGATAAATATTTTTCTCGCTTCATGGACGTAATAAAGGGGGGGTCGTATTTGGGCTGGGAAATATTTATTTTGATAAATATTTTTCTCGCTTCATGGACGTAATAAAGGGAGGGTCGTATTTGGGCTGGGAAAAATTTATTTTGATAAATTGATTTTTCTCGCTTCATGGACGTTGTAAAGGGAGGGTCGTATTTACGTTTTGGCGTTGTAGGAGTGGTGGTTGACTTTTGGTGATTTTCCTGTTTCATGCGTACTATATGCCCCCCCCCCGCTCGATTCGATGAGGAAGGAACAGAGGGCTGGGGGGGGGTCGTACCAACTCCCAAAAAAGGGGAGGGGTCGTACAAACTCGACTAAAATCCCCAACCAATGATGTGCCCTGCTCCGCCTGTCGTGTTAATCCCGCCTTGATTGGTTTTCCATTATCAATCCTCGCTGGCATTGATAATCGCTAAATTTCTAGCGTTCGTTTCGTACACTGATAGAGATTACCTTATAGATAGATTAGATAAGTTAGATTAGATCAGATAAGATCGATTAACTCCCAAAACAACCTTCATTGTAGTTCGCGGACGGTTGAGCGCGTCAGGCAGTATGAGTGTGTCACGCCCTCAAAGCCGTTCTCTGCCTCTTGTTGAAGTGCGCATGCGACAAAAAGTGGTAGAAAACGAGTAGTACGAACGATATGATACAGCATGTTACAGTCGTATCACTTGCTCGCTTTAACAACTGGTGGAGAACGAGTTTGGCACCGCGCCAAACTCATCCCGCCTGACACGCCCACCGTCCGCAGCGAACTACACTCTACTTAGTGGCCTCATGAGAATTAGCCACGACGAGGCGGCGACAGGTTTTGGAGAATCACCCAAAAATTAGAACTCGTCCGGATGCATATGATCGAACAGGGTCTCATTCCAGCTCTTGCGGCGCTTTTTTGTTTACTTTTTTATGCTTTACTTGCCACATGTTCTGACAATGTGAGCACAACCTGCCAAAGTCGATCGCGGGCGTTGTCTTCAAGTGATTTCTACTTGGGAGAAACCTCGTCGAAGGAGGCCATCTGCTTCGAATTTAGACCTACTGCGTTCCTTGATTAGTGCCAATTCGTACGAATCGACTCGCTATCTAGTCCTTACACCTGACTGGTCCAAAATCACGAACAGAGGTCTTCACTCCCTCAAAAAACTGTTGAAATTCGGGTTCGGTCAAAGTTTCCTCATGAGTTTACCGATACTCGAGGGGAGCGCATGTATGTACAGTCTACAGCTTCTCTCCCAATCCCGCCATGCGGGCTGGCCGAATAACATTGTAAATAGGTGTCTTCAGATAAACCATTTCCGGGAGCGCCCTTCAGAAAGGAAGGAACTGGTCGTACAATCGTATCAATGCGGGAGGGCTGAGGTAGTCTGCATGTGGTGGGGTTCACCGCAGGGAATCATTCCTCTGAATGCTGTAACTAGCGAGTCCTATTGTTATAGTTGAAAAGTGAAGATGAAGATCTCCACCATTTGGCCCCTCAACCCAGCAACATTTTCCTACCCCACCGTAGCTCAGGGTGAAACGTTTCGAAAATGACAACTTGATATCCTGAAGCTTATTGTTAGTAAGGGATTCCACCTCACCTTTCTCTGCACTAACCAAAAAGCTTCTAGAACCAAGGCAACCACTCATTGCTGGCTGGTTGGCAACAAGTTGCCGATGGTGATCGAAATTACTTCTCATTTAAATAAATTTGACTCGAAAAAAAAGCTCGAAAATGTCACGAACTTTTGGGATACCCTAATGCAAATGACTAACTACCCCGTCTTTCTTTGCTCACCGCAATTTCTTCAACAAACGACGTTTCCGGGAGCGTCATAGTATGTACTCGTCGCTTGCAGCCGTCTCCAAATGAAACGATGCAATCTGTTTTTGAAATCCTGGATACAATCATTGGAATGGTTCTTTTCGCCGGTATTATGGGTAGTGTTGGTGATTTGGTAGCCAAAGCGAACAAAGTGAAAGCGGACTGGCAGCAAAGAATGGATGGCCTTAAGCAGTTCATGACATACAGGTCAGCACTGTTCATTTTCTAAAAAATTTATCACTCTATGAACTTCCACTCTTATCGCCATTTTACTGCGCATATTACGCAATTATATTATTATCAACTGCGAAAATCGCAGGTTGGGAGAGAATCAGCATCTCAGTTAACTCAGTCGTTTGCATCGTAGTTAAGTTAGTGTGACTATGAGCAGTTTGTGTAAAAAACATGAAGGATAAGGTCTTCGCCATTAATCAACCCCTTTTCGAAATGCGACACATATTGTACTTCCATTCAGAATAGTTTGGCCCATTGAATGCGATGTGGCCTATACAATGACCTTGCGGGGGCCAGCCGATGTACAAGTCAGTGTTCTTATCCTCCCAGACAAATCTGGTACCAATTTACGGACCCGGGTGGAAGACTTGGTTGGCCTGGCAACCAGGAATAGTCCCAGGATCACTGAGTGTGCGTGTGTCTTGTTCTGTGAGCTTCTTAGGTGGGACATTCATTAGGCAGCGTTCAGACCCCGCGATGGCAGCGCGGTCGCGCGTTCGACGCGATCGAGCGAAAACATGCGCATCGATCGTGGAATCACGCGAGCGAAGCGCTGCAGTCGCGAAGTCTGAACGCCGCCTTAGCACCACCTTGGTAAAATACGAAAAAAAGAGTCAGCTTCAAATGTCATATCTTTTTTTTCTCTTGCAGGAACTTGCACGCCGAATTTCAGCGCCGTGTTCTGAAGTATTGCGAGCATGAAATGGCTAAGCAGGAAAAAATGACCGAATTGGAAATGCGAGAATGCCTTCCGCCGAAACTCTATACCAGAGTATGATGAAAACTTATTCAATTGACTCTATTCAACTGTTGCGACCCTAAAATCACAGAAAAAAAAACTTTTGTAAAAAGCTGTTCACAATGGCACCGGCGCCAAAACAAATGTTGTATTTGGGACCACGACACTAAACGATTCCTTGGGCAAGGTTTCGCAACCTTTTCTAAGATTTTAGGGTAGTAGTAGTTGATTAATGATAATTTCCTTTTTTCCAAATTTTTTCACCCTCTCAGTCATTCAAATACTACTTTCTCTTCAGATCAACAAGTACATGCAGTGGTCTATACTTGCCAACTCGCAACTCTTTGAAGTATGTGATTTGCTATAGAACCGCTACGACCCTACAAGGAGTATTTCAGGGTTGTGAATTGGCCTTCCTCAAAGACCTCGTAGCTCGTCTTGAACCAATGGAATTTGGGCCTGGGGATGTCATTTGCGCTCGAGGAGAGTTGAACAAGGTACTGACTATTATCCTGTTAACGACTGCGTCCATCTGAACACACCTGAGTAGTAGCATCAGCTCCAGCTCCCTTCAAAACGTTGTAGTTGTCACCAGGGAAAGCCTTGGATGATCGCTTCATGCTCGCGTCTATGCTCGCGTCTCGACTCTAAAATTGCTAAACCGAGTAGCACTGACCCCATGTTGTCAACGTTCCGTCAAGTCAGCAGTCTTCCAGTACAATGACGGGTAGCTTTGAGGTGCTGCCTTGTTTGTTTCCGAAGTCGCAGTACATGCAGGCGCGCATCTATGATTTCCGGTCGCCATATCATTAAGAAAACTTCACAGTATAACACCCACCTCAAAATAAAGGTGGTGGACCTTTACTACGAAATATTGCCTTTGAACACCATTGCCAAGAGATAGACGACGTTTGAGGAGAAGTTAAATTGGGAGAGCACTCAAAAACAAAATCAGAATTTCCTCAACCTTATAATTTGATGAGTCAATATAGTTTTTCGCGTTGAGTTCCATCATATTCGAACAACACATCTCCTTCACAGTGTGTGGATCTCAAGAGCAATGAAGCAGTTTTCTCATCTCCTAGGAGAAGCTTGCTGGTAGTTACGTCTATCAGCTTTGGAGACAAGTGGCACGATAGATCCCCAAGATTATTAAGCCCAGCAGGACAGATTTCATCACCCTGAGCAGGCGCCGCGTAGCACCTTTTTCAAGGAAGATACTCCTATAGTGCCCTAACAATCTGCACATACCGAGCCGGACTCCCACTGCGCCTGCCCGCCCACAAACGTTCGACCAATGCACGTATCGTTTATTTGCGAAGTACAATATGAAGTGAAGGGATTGATATGAAGCGGCTGCATGAATACATGAGTGCATACATGCAGCCGTATCTATCGTAGCGGTTATTGGCACAATGAAACGGAAAACTCGTCCGAAATTGCCCTCTGAGTCGTATGGAACAAGAGGTTTTGTCGCTGTTCTTCTACCCTTTCACTAAGGTTTTTTGCCATTTCCCCCACTATATATTCCCCTACGATACTCAGTTTCTCTGAGCATCTACTTATTGCTTGGTAAGGTACGATATTGAAAAGCCCCTATGACTCTTTAAACCGACTGATCAAAACCCATTTTTTGGTTTCGTGCAGAGATACACTTACTCTTTTTTACGGTGACATACATTATTGCTAATACTATTTTAGGCAATGTACATAGTGGCCTCTGGCAATTTGAAGATCACTGACCTCAGCTGTGTCACATTGAAAACTTACAGTGAAGGTGACATTGTTGAAGATCGGTCACTTATTTGGCTTCCACACAATCGCTTCAAGAATAGACGAAGGCACAACGTTGTGTCCGTCGGGTATTCGCAGGTCTGAAAATAACTGTTACTGTTGTAATTAATTATGTAACATGACGCGAGTTTGTTCAGATATACATTCTTTTTCGCGATGACTTCCTCGAAGTATTAGAAGACTATCCTGATTGCCGCAAGAAAATACGGGTCCACGGTAAGGATAAAGATTAATTCATGTGAAATACAGTTTTACACCTAAAAATTTACGGACAACTATTAATCGTCATCATTTCTTATTTTAACATCAGTCATTAATTTGTTGTAACTTCCTAGATTAGAACGGCAAGTGGTAAAGGTGCTGTGTACTCTTGCTATCAAAAATATTGGCCGAGACGGTTTTCAGAGCCGAAGTAAAGTCCCGGTATGACCCCTCTCACCTCTAAGTGTCGGGCGTAACGAAAGGGATTAGACACGTTAGTACTAGGTCATCACATTCAAAAATGTGGAAGCATGCGAAGAAACGGCAGAAAAGCAAAAATGATAAGGCGGTGGGCTAGTATACCATTTGGAAGCTAGTACCTTTAGCTATGTATCTGTGAAATTTGGCGAACCTACCCACAGAAGAAGTTCTCGAGAAATTGAAAAGAAGCCTGAGTGGTGAAAATCAGCGCCGGATTTTCAAATCAGGCGTCATAAGAGGAAAGTGCGCTGCTCAAATTTGACCTGTGCCGGACCATAGTTGTGTGTAATGGTGTTCTCGAAATACAAGGTGGAAGATTTGGTTCAGGAGCCCGAAGAAGGAAGAAAGGAAAAAATTTGTTGTCGTGGATGGTCCCATAATATTCATCCTGCACAAGAAAAAAGGGTGGATGAAGTCAAGCGCTGAATATCTGATCCCAGAGCCTGGACCTTTGTCGAGCTTCCCCGCGAGTCTGACATCCCAGCTGCAACTGCTGCCCGAGTTATGTCCGATAAACTGAGGATGGTCAAGAGGATGTGGTACCTAATTTTCTTGTAGAAGCACGAACGCAGTACCGATTCTATGCCTCTAGCAGTAATGTTCTCAGCATGAGATGTCATTCACGACTGTGAAAACGCACCCCGGCCCTAGATGAAATATGGGTGGTCTTGGACCTCGAGCCAAAACTCACAATCGTCAATTTTGTATGAATGCAGATGAGAAGCCGCCCGAGTTCTACCATGAGGAGTTACGTGGGCGCAAGTGGATGATCATCATAGCGAAGGATTCCCACACTGTGGCTTTCAGGCGGCTCTATACAGAGAATAAAATCGTCGCTGTCGGTGTATATTGCCTGTTCCTCGGCAATCAGATCGACAAATGGATGATACCACACAACTACAAGAAGGCCACCGTTGCTCGTCATAGTGCCAGACCCCGAGTAACTGTATTGTAGGGCAGTGCTGGGACACAAACAATACTGAGACCTGGGTTCAATCGCCCCATTCGCCCAACATAAAGCCGTTCGATTCCAACTGTTCTGGTCAGTCGAGGTACTCTCCGACGGCAAACGCTACAATGTTTTGTCATTCGCCGAAATTGGCATCAACAGCAATTTACTCGCACTTGTTGAAAAAACGAAGGTACCAGAGGTCCAAAGCTTTCGGGGCACTGGGAGCGGGTCATTGGTGAAGGAGGGATCTACTCAACTCAAAGCCAAAATATTACTTTTTATCTGGTTTCTTCTTCGTTTTATATGAATAAAATCTTCCGTACTTTTGAAAGGGATAACCTAATAATTGCAAGCACTTGCGGCCGCACTGTGGTTCCAGCGTTGTTTGCAGGATGCAGACCACGTACTTCTTCAGAAGGTTATAACTTTTCTAGGTTCGATGCTTTTGGGAAACGGTAGGCGGCTCGTCGAAGAGACAGCTCTATTGTTGCGTTGCTTACTACATACTAATCCTTTCATGTTGAGTAATATCTTGGATTATTCTCCAGCTTCTCTCTTCTTGTAACCTCGGCATGTTAGTTTTCAATAATTCAGTACGTTATATTGTGCCTCACGAGGTTTTTAGGTGGAACTATTTATTTAACGACCTGAGGTTTCGACTAATCGTCTTTGTTCTACCGTAGACGCAGAATAATCCGCTATTCCATAAGTCAACCAGTAGCGAATCTTCGTGCAGGAATAGGAAGATTATGTTCGAACCTGCAGTAGCTGTCAAGAGGCGAATCGCTTCTTGACAGCTACTGCAGGTTCGAACACTTCTATGTCCTTGGTGATATTTGTCCAGTAGACATATGAGCGGGCTAGGCTCTTCATTCTTGCCATTCCAGGATGTCCGTCGTGTAGAAGTTTCAGAACCCGGTCCTTGAACTTCGTCGGAACCACGATAGGGTTGACTTATGGAATAGCGGATTATTCCGCGTCTACGGTATAACAAAGGCCTCTGAAGAAGACGATTAGTCGAAACGTCAGGCCGTTAAATAAATAGTTCCACCTAAAAACCTCGTGAGGCACAATATAACATACTGAATTATCTTGGATTAGTTTCAGATGGGTCAATGACAGTTCGCATGCGAGTTTTTATTAACGACAATAACCTCTTTCATGCGCAATTTTCGCCAAACCGAACGATCTTCACGAAGCACCATACTATTTTTCGTAAAGTGCCACAGTTCTTTGAAAGGCCGCTGATTTAGTAGATGTTTGGATGGGTTTTTGGTGACCGAGATCTTGAGCCACCCAAAAGCCTGTCTCAATCTGTGCTCTTTCAAAAGCCTTAGTGTGCCTTTAATATTCGTAGTTCCATGGAAGTGCGTGAAAACATAGTTTGCTTATCATTGATCAATTTCCCGAGTGTGCGCCGTACATTATACTCCCACTTAGAAGTACTGGAAACTCCAACGGTAACTTCCAGTAGTTGGTGGTTTTTGTCTGTGCGAGCAGAGGCACCATATTATTTTTCCGAAAAGCTTCTGACTGGGAAAGATTGATGCGCCAACAAACCTGTTTGTATTGTAATGTTAAGTTGTCTATCCAATTACGAATTTATGCTAAGTTTTATTATTGTTAGTTGATTATTTTGATATTTGTAGTGCTCCCCACATCCATGTACTCTTGTTTACGACCCCTTCCTCCCCCTTCTTAGCTGTTAGGTCCCCCTCGATGGGTTTCGCACAACGATGCTGTACCCTGTTTTCGTTGCGACGCCACTTTTCGGTTTATCCAGGACTTCCATAATGCCCACATCACGGAATTTTTAGGAACTTACAGAAGTGATTCACGCGGGTCAGGACAATATACTTAAAATAGCGGTTCAGATTTCGTAAAACACAGTACGCTGCCACAAACCCAGAAGAAATCGGCAGTAAGGGTACGAACACTCCGGGGTTCCCTAGTCCCTTAGTACACTTGTAGCCATCCATGGGGTAGCCTCGTCTCATCTAGGGGTAAGCATAAGCAGAGGGAATATAGAAAAATCATATTTCGAAGCGTTGCTGTATGTTCATTAAACAGCTTTGTGTGCATCATTTCAGCGGAATGGCTGCAGTTTGAAGCAGGAGAACTGACAGAGGACGAAAATGTGACTGATATCGACGAATTCGGAGGCAGGACCCTTG